CTCATTTGCCTCCAAAGCCCCTGACTTGAAAACAGTGGATTAGCTGTTTCTTTTTTATTCTCCTTGGGGCAGATCAGCATCATTTACTGCTGGAAACAGGATGCTGGGCTAGTTAGAACTCAGTCTGACTTATCAGATCTGTTTTTATGTTTTCGGGTCAGAAGGGACAACAAGGTCATCTATTCTGGCTCCCCATCCAAAAGGCAGAGCTGTAAGACAGCATTAGGAAAGGTCAACTTCTGCAACCGAAGCCTCTTAGGTACATTTCCAAAAATGCCAAAGGGACTTTGGGACTTTTGAGACAAACCAATATTATCCGGAGAGCATCAGACTGAGAAAGCTTGGTCTAAGTCTTTACAATTTTATCTTAGTTTTCAGCAAAAGCTGGCAACACATTTCTTGATGTGGTAGTGAGCAAATTTTTCTAAACTCCAGATCAGTGTGCCAAATATCTGGACCACACTAGATGGAAGCAAAAATAGATAGACACTAGTAATTTTGCTGTTGTCTTTTTTGGATTAGCAAAATATTATGATTAAATATTACATTAATACTTTGATTCCCACATGCAATGCAAAATCCTAACTTTCTGCTGAGCACAAATCAGCCTATTTCAAAGCAACTGCAGCAGATAGTCATATATAAATGATATTCATTCCAGCTTGTTTATCCTCTGTGTGTGATTCTTGAAACCTGAATTCAACAGCTGATATCCATTATGCTCACCCACACACTCAGAGTTCCTTGCAGGAGGTCAAGATTGTTGGGAAAGTGCAAAACCACAAATCCCTTGATAAGGAAGGAAGAAGCTGTTTAGAACAAGCTGGATAAAAAACTTGTTAACTGCACGTATTACTTGACAGCTGGCAGCTGATGAAATAGAGAAGGGGTGGAAGTTTGTGCCAGGAGAAGCAAACTGAAAAGTTTCCTTAATTTATTCTCTTTTGGTTGATGCTGGACCTCTATAATCTGCACCTTAAGAACCAATCTGCTGGGCTTTTGCAGAAGATGTATAGTGTAGGGAGAGAAACAGAAGAAGCTAAAGTTGAAACTTTGCTCTGAGAAATTAGAGGCTCTGCTATTTAGCTACCGAGCCAGAAGGATTAGTGAAAGCAGCCACAATTCTGTCTCCAAGCTCCATTTGTGTGGCAGGGACAATTTGTTCAGAGATTGTGTAAGAAAGACACGATGAGAGGAGAACAGGTGTCCAGGAAGCAGAAAACATGGCTAGGGAAAAACAAGTAAAAGAAAATGGACCCATCTTCAAAATATAGAGAAACATTATTTCAGAAGAAAGCGTATCAGGTTTATATTGTACACTAAAGCTCCCCATCATTCCCTTGCTTCATATACACATGTTCTGTGCCAAAAGCTGAACCTGTCACGCTGTTCTTATCCTGCAAATCAACACAACTGACACATTTGGCAGATTGTATTCAGTATCTGTAGAAACAAATGATATAAGACTCACTTCCTATTTAGTCAGAGTTTGGTTATCTGAATTCATTTTTGAGTAATACATCTTAACCCCCTGAAACTCAAAGGTAATTTCTCCATTAGGAATATACTTAAAGCCAACAAAAATTATTTATAAAGAAAAATTATTCAGAATTTTACATAAAGCAAAAAGCATCTAAAGATAGAAATGATTTCTGAACTTCTCTTTAAGATATATTGACAAACCCATCACCTCTACTCCCTCCTATCTCTTCCAGAAATCCATTCAACCCCATATTATATTCTCATGTTTTTCAGTCATTGAATCCATAGATCGTTATTTCATTTTTTCCTTATTTTTTTAAGCAAAAACCATAAGAGGTTTCCAATCTGCTAAAAAAAACCAAAACCTTGACCAACAAGTCAGTTTTGCCATTTCTGCTAATTCTGAGAGTTTTATGATCAATTCCTCCCTTGTGGGAGGAATACTCTTCCATATTATACTTTGTGCGTATAATAATCTTGCTGCCAAAGCTATTAAAAATCCATACATTTGGGTCCTTATATTCAAATTCTGTATTCTGGAATCTATGCACCCTAATTGCAAAACAGCAATCACCAAACAAATTTGCAAAGATTAATGTAACTGAATATATTTCAGCACTTAAAAGTATTCTAAATACTGTCTGAGAGAAGTGGAATTAAGTGGAAGTAGGCTGGCAAGTGTGAACTATATATTTTATTATTTATGAAAAGCGGAAGGTGAGGATATCATATGGAGCCCAGAAATCCTGTGTCTGGTTTCTGAACTTCATCAGGTATTACTATGCATAATGCCTTTTTTATTAATAAAAATGTACTTTTGAAAATATACATAATAGAAATGCATAGAAGCTAAGAGGAGACATGATAGCAGTTTTTCTACCTGCTTGAGGGGCTACCACAGACAGGAGGGGACCAAGCTATTTTCCAAAACACCTGAAGGCCAGACAAAGAACAATGGATTGAAACTGAACGAGGAGAGATTTAACCTGGAAATAAGGAGAACAATCAACCAATGGAACAGCTTGCATTCAGAAGTTGTGGGAGCTTCATCACTGGAAGCTTTCAAGAAGAGACTGGACTGCTATCTGTCAGAAATGATGTAGGGTCTCCTGTTTGGGTAGGGAGGTTGGACTTAGATAACCTACAATGTCCCTTCCAACTCTGTTAATCTTTGAATTTTAGCATATGTGAACAAATAATAAAGGCTAAATCACATAAGGCTGTTCCCATGAGGCTGTACAGTACTTCTAGCCTTAGCTTTTGTTTCATGACTAATTTTGAAAACACAGTAGTCATTTTTAAAGTTGGTGATAGAACTATAAAGTCAGATCCCTCTGGCTGAGGAAGTGCCATGATATGAAGATGCACAGAATGAAAACTGTAAGCTGCCACTAAAGTCAGTGGTTGGTTTCCTCTGTGATGGTTTGTTTAACAAAGCACATTTGTCCAGGCTTACATCTATGCTAAACTAGGTTGGGCAACACTTTCCAGGAAAGTTTTTGGATTTTTAGGAGATAGCCTCTTAAGAGTGCACTGTATGTCCACTCATACAGTGAGAGGAAAAGTCAAGTCAATTAGAATGCTGAGCTAGTGGATTCTGACTTGTTCAACAAACCATAGTAAATTAAATAATGGCTTAGCATGGTATCTGAAGCCATTCTTGCATGCAGATGAAATATTGTTGTGTTATACAAGAAAATCTAAGGTGGGCTTGTTGTGTTGGGTAAGAAGGGTGGGTGACGTGAGCGTTATATTTGGAGAGTTTTACATTTCTCATTCTCAACCTCTATCATGTGTAAGAAATAAGCACAAATGAAATGTAAACTGTGGTGGAATTTAGAGCTGAGTTGATGGGAAGGAAGCAGCTGAAAGAAGATCCTCCCTAAATCTTCACAGTGTTTATCTGTGGTTGTGTGGTGAGCGCTTTAGTCTGGCTAGATTTCTTTTCATAGACAAGCTGTAATAAACATACCACTCTGATCAGCTCCTTGTACCATTTCTTGCACCTGACATAAAATGACTCTGAGTCTTGTAGAGCAGTGGTCCCCAACCTTTTTTGTACCAGGGACCGGTTTCAAGCAGAAAATTTTTGCAAGGACCGGGGGGG